TAATTAGCCCTAGTCCAGGGAAATTCATTAGACACCCTTCGTTGAATATTCTTCCTTCGAAGTTGACTTCACAATATGAACGGTATTGAATGCTCACCAATGCTTAAATTTTCATGCTTTGCTGAGTAATACTGATACAATTTTAAAAATGAGAACATAACCTGGTGATATTGGCATCTCATCAGGGACTGTTGGACAGTCACTTTTTCCTAATCACACACGGCTGGAATGAATGGATATTCTTCTCTGTGAGGCCATTTCCCTAGCTGAATATTTGCCATCTGCCTTTGGGGGACTTACCCAGGGACCCAGACTCAGGGACATATGGCATTCTGCATGTTTGCTTAGATTCATTTTACTGAGGCTCATGCTCTGTCCCGTTCAAATTAGCAAACATGTTTGATAATTTACAAGCCATTCTTATATACCCAAATGAGGAAAAACTTACGCTACATGAAATCAATGAATCGTAAAGCTGGTTAGTACCTTGGAGGTCATCTCATCTAATTCTCTGAGAAACTGAGGCTCAGAGATTCGAGAGACTTGCCTAAGGTCAGAGAGCTAACTAGTAAGAGAACTGGCTTTCAAACTCAGCACTACTAACTTCTTAATCCGGTGTACTTTTCATTACAACTTACTGCATACCTTCATTTTTTTTTTTGGAGAGCGCTGGGGAGAGAAAGAAAGAAAAGAAACTATAATTGTAAAAATATACTATTTTACTATTTATTACCCTTGGCCAAATGTTATGAGAGTAGGTTAAACATTTCCCTACCCTTCTCTTTTGATTCCCTAGAGAAGGCACTTGTGAAACACACCTGTTTCAATTTATTTAGATTGAATCATGCCCATAGCAGAAATTCTTGCAATCCTACCTACAACCTGTTATTACAGCCCTACAAAAAGCAGCACAGAATTTAGTTAATTGACCCAAAGCCTGTTCATTCACCACCAAAAAAAATAAAGTAGGGGTGGAAGCATGTACTTTACATAAGTAGGTGGAAAAGAAATCTAGGTTGTTAATGAGTCAATGTTATAATCTATGTCTAATGTATACAGTTTAAATAAATTATATTTTAATAATTTAGCTCTGAGAAGTTGTATGCTATAGTACGGCATAAATTACAGAAATACACTAAAGTCCCATTATAATGCCTTTAGATGTCAAGCTGTGAGACCACATTACTAGAGAGACTTGTCATAATGAAGCCCTCCTGGTACTTTGAAAGGTAAGAAATGTTTGTGACCACAGTCTAGGAGAGAACTGCCTTTTATGGAATCTTATGTAATAGCATTTTATGATGTAGTAACACACACACCTTTCAACATAATTGTGCTTTATCATAATAAAGCCTTTATCAAAATTTAGAAGGAAAGGAGAGGGCTCCACACTTACTGACTACCACCCCAAACACTGTGCTATGTGTATTTCATATATTACCTAATTTAATCCTCACAATTTCATAAAATACGATCATCATACTTTTATAGACTGGGAAACTAGGACTCAAAAAATTAGGTGGTTTATCTAAAATCACATGGTTTATAACTCATAGATCTGGGACTTGAACTCAAGCGTGTCTGATTCTAAAGCCACTAGACTTTCCTTTATGCCATGTTGCCATCACTCAAAAAATTTAAAGTAAAAGCTACTCTTTAGCTTCCCAGAAATTTCCTTAGCAAATCAAGTCACTTACTCACTAATTGTTAACAGTGTGCCTAAAACTGTGTTGGGTTCGATTCATCCATCTAATCACCTGTCCACCACCAAATAGATATTAGGTGCCTGCTTTGTCCCAGGCACTACGCTAGGCATTAGGGAGACACTGATGAGTGAAAAAGAGGTCCTCAAGTCCTCTGGCATAGAGAGAACAGTCACTCATTAAATAGTCATGTAAATAAACGTAAAATTACAACTGTGTTAAGGATTATGGTGGAATAACAGTTAGTAGCTCTGTGTCTGAAATTTCCCATGGTACCACTGTAGTGTTTAACAGGGTCTCTGACAGTCTGAAGGGTCAAGGAAGGTTTCTCTGGGGAAATGATGACTGAGTAGAGATCTGAAGAATAAGCAAAATTACTTAGGTGAAGAATATTGTTGTAGATTGAGAGAACACCATGTGCAAAGATCCTCTGGTGAGAGAAAACATTGCATGCCTGAAGACGTGGAAGAAGGGTAGTGTGGGTAAAGCAGACAGAGGAAAGGGGAGCACCCCGCACATCAGGCCAGAGAAATGGGAGCAGCAGATGATACTGGGGCTTGGAGGCCATATAAAGGATCCTGACTTTCATTTTAAGAGCAATGGGAGTCCACTGAATAGTTTTAAGAAGGTAGATAACGTGATCAGATTTACATTTTCTTAAGGGTCATGCTGAAATGGGGAGAACTGACTCAAGAGGAGGAAAGAGTGAATACATTAAGACCAATTAGAAGGCTACTGAAGTAGTCCAGGCAAGACACGATGGTATCTTAATCTAAAAAGGTAGAAGTGGAAATGAAGAGAAGTGGACAGATTTGAGATATATTTAGGAGTATAAAAATGACAGAACTTAGTAATAGCTTGAATATGGGAAGTGGCGAGAGGAAGATTTCAAAGATGACTTAGGTATCTGGCTAGCACAATTAGACGAAAAGAGAATACTGAAAGAAGATCAAATTTGGTGGGAGGAGGGGAGAAGAGGAGAAACTGTGGATTCAGTTTTGGATATGTTAAGTTTGAGATGCATTTGAGATACGTAAATGGCGATGAGTCCAGAGCTCAGAGGAGAAGTCTAGATTAGAGATACTAATCTCTGAGTTGTCTGAAAATAAATAATAAGCTGTGGGTACAGATGAAATCACCTGGGGAAAGAAAAAGGACCTAGGATGGAGCCTTGAGGAATCCCAAAATCTAATGGATTAGTAGAAGAGGATGAAATCTGTATAGGAGACGGAGAAAGAATAAGCCGCTGAGAAAGGAGGAAAACTGGGAGGATGCGATGTCCCAGAAGCCAAGGGAGGAGAGAGTTTTGAGAATAAGAAAGTCATTAATAGTGCTGAATAATGCTGAGAGGTCAAGTAAAACAGAGACTTAAAAGTCTGAGGATTTAATAACATGACGATTATTACTGACCCTAGAGAGAGCTGCTTCAGTGGCATGAAGGGTGGAAGTCACACTAGAGGGAATGAGAAATGAGCAACAGATGCCATGCTACTCATAGAAACCTCACTTGCCATCCTGAAGAAATTAAGAGTTTCACTTGAGAAGGCAAAAGTTATACAGAGACTACAAAAAAGACACAATGCTACCAGTTTTAGTAATTCTTGAAGTGCTACAGAAATCCAGAAAAGTCAGGAAAGTCTTTACAGAGAAGGAAAGCCTTAAGCAGAGCATTTAAGGAAGTGCAACACTGAAAGACTGAAGAGTGCTCCATCTAGGGAAATCAGATGAGAAGAACACATGGTGTGTGGGGGACAGGGGTGGGAGTGGGGGAGTGGGATCGAGGGGAGTGATAAAAAAGACAAGAGATACAAACCCAGCCCTCTGCTTTGTGATGCAGGCTCAATACTGAATTATTTAGGACTGGATAATCTATGCCCTAGTCTCTTATTTTTTGCTGCCTGCCTGTGGGCCAATTCATTTCTCATAATCAATTATACCAGAGGGTTGGTAGGGAAAAGAGAAAATTGGAATCATAAATCAATTATGTTGCTCATTGGTTTTGGAAAATGCTTTGTGAAAGGTGGGGATGAGTAAAATGAAGAGCTAAAATGTACTTTTGTATTTGTGATTTTGAGGCAGGGTGAGAGACTGGAAAAGAACACAGACTTCAGAGCCAGAGGGAGTCAGGTTTGAATACTAACTCTGTCACTTCCTACCCATGTAGGCTTGGAAAATGCAGTCAGTCTCTTTGCACCCCAGTTTTCCATCTGAAAAATTGGAGGAAACAATAAGTTTCTTGGCAAGGTTCCTTTAGGACTTAGCACTGAGACTGGTGCCTGCCTCATAGGAATCTATTAATTGGTGGTGAATATTGTTTTAGTAATACTACAAGAGGGAAAATAGGAAATATATTGAAAGAGAGAACCTTGTATACCTAAGATGGGGGAATTTTATTTACTATGGGCCTTGATCTATATTTTTCTACTGGTATTTATCTAGAGACAAGTGAAAAGCCAAAGATAGCAAAGTTTAGTTTTTGGACCTTTTTTTCAGATAAACATATTTGTCTCACAGACTTTTACAATTAATGACATTAAGTAGATAACTATTCAAGAAATACATAGTCAAATATATTCTTATTTTATATTACTGCTAATTTTGTAAAGGAGAAAAGAGACAAAAAAAGGAAAAAGGAAACCAGAAGGATAAAAAGCAACTAAAGTTAAGGGTGAACAAAGAACAGAAGATAAGAAGGGCTAAAGAGAGCAGAGAGACGGACAGAGACAGGACAGGCAGACAGAGAAGAGGGAGTCAGAAGAGAACTGAGAGCAGGACCTGTCCTGCCCTCCTCCGTCCCTCCACACCCTCCCCTCAATACGTCCATCTGAGAGGCACAAAGTACGCTAAGCCCCCTGCTCTGCCAAGCTGGCTCTTCCTCTGCCCATCAGGCCACTGCTGTCACCTCTCGCCCAGCATATGCCCTGGCCTCCCCCTCCCCGCTGTAGTCTCCTAACCAGTATTTAAGTTGACAGTAGACCTGGCATTGCTATACAGAGCTCTAGGCCACTTCATCTCAGTTATTTAAAAACCAAACCAAAACAAAAAGACCTACACCTGCATTTGCTAAACTAAGAAGGACACCTTGTGACAGAAATGAGGAAGTATGTTTATGGAACACTGGGATCTTCTTTGAGAACACTTTTTAGAGGTGCCTTTGAGAAACTATCGTTTTAAGCGATATAAAGAATGATAGATATAATTTAACAAAATATGCCAAAGAATAAATGAAATTTTAATTAAGGGAAAAACCTGAACTCTGAGATGGCTAACTCTCATTTAATTAGCGTCTTTTCTTACTGTGTGCTGAGGGCCATCTTCATTATCTCTCATGTAGAAAGGCTTGAGTGCTAACGGATAATTAACGACAAAGACTGGTATGTTGCCACAGTGCTTCACCAGGAACTTTTCATGTTCAGTGTGTAGATCAACACCCCACTGTAAAGAGAAAAAAGAAATTACCAGAGGAGAAGACAGAGTAAAAATACAAACTGCAGGACCTGAAAATAACCTGAATCGGTTCCAAGGGCTTCCTCTCCCTGAGGATCAGTGATGTGTGGAGCTGTCTGCTGAGGTTACACAGATGACTGACTAGAGAGAGAGATGTGTTAGCAAGAACATCCAAAGGCCTGGAAAGATGAAAGCTGAAACTCGTAGATAAACACTCTGCTTTCTGCCCCCATCTCAGGGAGCGGCATTTAGCAGATGAAGAGCATCTGCAGGAAAACAAAGCACACTGTCCACAGTGGATAAAAACCGACTTCAGAACCATACTTTTTATTAATACTGCCTAGAGCTTCTTCTACAGTTACTATTCCTAAATCTCAGGAAATTAAATGATGAAAGATAATATTCCTAATATTGAGTCTATCTTTGGCTAGATGGCTTCTCTCAGTGAATTTTTTTTTTTAAATAAAAGAGTCAACTCATATATTAGATGTTCTTTGATGAATATTTAATAACACTGTTCATCTATTTATTCAGCAAATACTAATGTGCCTATTAAATCCCAGGTACCATGCTGGGAACTGGATATAGGGGTAAGAAAAAGAGACTCCCTGACTCCACGCAGCTTCCAGGGTAGGAGAAAAACATTAAATAAAAGCTTATGCAAAGAAATTAATTGATTATAAATATAACAAGCGCAGGGCACTATTATAAAAGGACCTGACTTAACTGGGAACGGGACTGGGGTAAGGACTAGTTTGAAGACAAAGGCATCGCATTCCCAACACTATCTTCTGACTCCCACTCGTCTGGCACTATCTGAATTAGAGGAAAGAAGCAACACCACAGGAACAAGACTTGCCTCCAACATTATGTGCATGCCCACTGATAAATCATGTGGCCTCTCTGAACCTATACCCTGGCCAATAAAGGAGTTCTAAAAAAAAAATTTGCTGTTTTCCCAAGTGGATCACAAATTAGGAGACTCTCTAAAGTTCAACAGAAAAAGAACCCTGTTTAATGTGTTGCCTCAACTTATTTGATCACATAACCTCTTTTTCTGTCACCTGTTATCACTCAGAATACACTTTGAACTAGGTGATTTCTACACTAATATTCTATGATTATAATTGTTTTTTAGGATTTTCATCTTCCTAAACTTGGGAAACCTCTTACAACCCTTTAGTCACTGCTATTCCAAATGATATGATTCTACTTCAAAGTTATTTTTCATTCTAAACATTTCAACAAGGTTGAGCAATCATCAAAAAAAGCCAACGTACAGGGGCTGGCCCAGTGGCATAGTGGTTAAGTTTGTGCACTCTGCTTTGGTGACCCAGGGTTCTTGGGTTTGATCCTGGGCATGGACCTACATACTGCTCAATAAGCTGTGTTGTGGTGGGTCCCACATACAAAACAGAGGAAGACTGGCAACAGATGTTAGCTCAGGGACAATCTTGCTCAAGCAAAAAAAAAAAAAAAAAAAGCCAGTGTACAGATGAGCAAATACTACATATTGCTAACAGGAGAAGCAAACTTATTTTAAAGGATCTTTAATGAAACAGGATAAGGACAAGAGGGACACATATTTTCATTTATATATATATATATATAAATATTACCTCTGGGGTGAAGGTGAAGTTCTGGGACGCCTGCTTTAAGATCTCCACTGCTTCAGTATAAGAAATGCTGGAGAGAAACAGGGTAAAGGGTCAATACAACGGGCTGTTGGGTTAGTCCATCTGAAAACTAGAAAAGGCCTATTCCCACACAGCCTTTGAGATCCTAAATGAGTATTAAATAGGTATTGCATAATCAGGAAGTAAGGTTGATCTAAACCCATGAGAGTCTGATCAGCATGAAGAGAAATGACCACTCAACAACCCACTCACGATCTACTTGCCATGGACACAGAGGAGCTAGTCACTCAGGCAAGGAAAGATTTTCTTCACATTCATGCTATGCCAATGCCCTAATAAAAGATGTGAAATATTGAGGCCAAAAGAGCAAAAGTCTTTCCTTAAAGTTGTCATTCATTCATCCAACAAACATATATTGAGCTTACACTATGTGCTAGGCATTATTCCAGGCACTGGAGATACAGTACATAAAAACAAAGCCCCTGCCTTTATGGAGTCAATATTCCTGTGTGTGTGTGTGTGTGTGTGTGTGATGGGGGTGAGGGGTGGGGAGTGGGGATAAGACAAATAAACAGAAGAATATAATGCCAGGGAGCTATTGGTGCTATGAAGAGAAATAAAGCAAGGTAAGAAGATGGAGGGTATCTGGGGGGCTATTTTAGATAAGATGGGCAAGAAAGGCCTCACTGAGTTGGCGACATGTGAACAGAAACCTGCACAAGGAAAGGAAATGAGCCTTATAAATATCTGGGGGGGAAGCATTCCAGACAAAAGGAACAGTGAGTACAAAGGCCTAAAATGAGGAACAGTGTGGCTCATTTGAGGAACAAAAAGGTGAATGTGACTACAGCATCTTGAACAAGAGGAAGAGTGCCAGGAAATCAGATAGGAAAGGGAGTCAGAGGTCAGATCCCATGGACTCGTTCAGGCCATAGCAAGGGCTCTGTAATGTATCTAAGCATTGTAAGACTGTTTAGGAAAAATATCATTGATTATCTCAGTGAGAAACCCTCATGCCTAAAACAAGCCAAACCAAGAATTTAACTATTTGAATAGGTTAATATATGCACACAGTTAAAAAAAAAATCAAGGGGGCTGGCCCAGTGGCGTAGTGGTTAAGTTTGTGCACTCCCCTTTGGCGGCCCAGGGTTCGTGGATTCAGATCCCGGGCACGGACCTGTGCACCACTTACCAGGCCATGCTGAGACGGTGTCCCACATACAAAATAGCAGAAGACTGGCATAATTGTTAGCTCAGTGACAGTATTCCTCAAGCAAAAAGAGGAAGATTGGCAACAGATGCTAGGTCAGGGCCAATCTTCCTTACCAAAAAAAGAGAGAAATAAATAAAAAATTTAAAAAAATCAAGATCTATAAAAGAGTATACATCTCCCTTCCACCCTTTTCCCACAACTAGCTACCTAGTTCCTCTCCTCACACACAATCACTATTATTGGTTTCTTATGTATCCTTCCAGAGGGTTTTATACATCTATAAGCAAATAATATACACTCTCCCTTTTTTTTAATAGATGCCAGCCACAGCATACATACCATATACACTCTTTTACATCTTTTCTCACTCAATATATCTTGCAAATCTTTTCCTTTCGGTATACGAAGAGCTTCTTTATTTTTTGAACTATTACACAATATTTCATTTTGTGGATGTGTCCTAATTAGTTTAACTAGTCATCTATTGATGGATATTTCAGCTATTTCCAATCTTTTGCTATTATAAATCATGACTACATACGTCTATTTTATGCTATTACAAACTATTCTTATATACTAATTTAGCATATGGAAAAAATTGAACTGCTGGATCAAAGGATATTGGCAATTGCAGTTTTTATTTATTCTGAAAGATACTGCCAAAGATATGGTTTCCCTTTTACAGGGTTACACCAATCTACGCCCACCAGTAGTATATGAAAACGTCAGTTTCCCTATGTCCTCTGCCAGTACTGGACGATTAAAAACAAAAATCTACAAACTTTCAGAAGGACACTGAGCTCAAAAAATAACTTACCCCAAACAAACTTATTCTCTGAAGCAAAATGAAGTTCCTACCTATAATAACAAACTGGAAAGAGTTGCATCTTATAGTATAAAAAAAGCCCCCAAGGCTGTGTTTTGAGTGATAGGTTTTTTTCTGAGATGAAAATTCTATTCAAATTAAAATCTAGTATTAAATAATAGGTAATTTCTAAGGTAGGAATGGTGGTGGTATTGATAGTAGTAATAATTTTAAAATGAGCATTTTACAGAAGGGAAACTGAAGCTTAGAGAGGATGAGTAACTTGCCCAAAATCACTCAGTAAGTAAGCAGTAAACCCTGATGCACTGACTCCAGAGTCTAAGCTTTTAACTGCAGAGATCATGCCTAAACCACTGGCAGTTTCACATGTTGAATGAAAACAAAAGATAATGGGCTCTGGGTTCCCCCTCTGACTCTACCACTTACTAACTATGTAAATCACTTCACCTTAGTGAAAGCATTTTATAAATACAAACGTTAAAAAAATTAAGTATTTGCACTTCTAAAATAAGGAGATTGGACCACATTGTCTAAAGTTCTTTCCTGCTTAGACATTCTATTGTTCTCTTCCATTAACTACTTGATATGATCTACTCATTATACTGAGAAATACAAGAGCAGTCAAAATGGTAGCACTAGGATTTTGTGCCGTTGATATGCTACTGTTACATTATTAAGAAAAAATGACTCTCAAGTCTAAACATCTCTTGTTATTCTGTATCTTCTGCCCCACGTGATTTTCCCACCTCTCTGCTCCTTTCTTACTTTATCTTCTGTTATCCTTTTCCCTTATTCACTCCTGCTATTACTTGAACACACCAGGCATGCTACAATCTCAGGGCCTTTGTACTTGCTATTTCCTCTGCCTGGAATATTCTTTTCCCACATACCCATATAACTAGTTCTCTTACTTTCTTTAGATCTTTACTCAAAAATTATCTCAGTGAGATCTTCCCAGCCACATTATCTAAAATTTCTACCTCCTCGCTCTCCTTTTGTCTTCTCTTCTCTTCTTTCTCTTCTCTGTTTTTTCCCCCCTTAGTATTACTCATTCTCACAGACTATATGTTTTACTTATTTATCTTGTTTCTTGGCTTGTCCTACCTCCACCAGAAACGTAAACTCAGTGAAGGCAGGGAATGTTATCTGCTTTTTCACTGCTTTGAGACAGTTTTCAGATTCTAAAATAGTGCCCGGCACACAGTAAGTATTCAATATAAATTTAAGTGAAAGAACAACCTCAAAGGCTTTTACTTGTACTTCACTGCCTTCCGATTCTCTATCTCGGGGCTTCTGACTATTTCCTCCTTTTCTGACCCCATGTCACTGCCTTGCTATTCATTCAGGTTCAAGGACTCAGCACTTTAAACTTGTAGCCTGAAGGTCTAGGTTGATAGCTGAAATTCGTAGTTCAGTCAAGCTGGCCAAGTTTTTCTCATTCTCCTCCTCAAGGAGAGGTTAAATCCTCTTAGAACAAAATCTTCCTAAACCTAAAGATGGCAAGTGAAGAATGATACCAACTTATGTTCAGAAACAACTTTCTATTCTTCTGAGTATCAAATTTCCTATATACACTGTAAATACACTGAATACTAAGTCTTATATAAGTTGTTGGTACTATCTATGAAGAGGTTGCTTATTGTTCTTTTTCCATATCAAGTATGCGTTTGTTTTATAATAAACTGTAAAAAAGGAGCAGCCTGTCTGACTAATACGGTTGGTGGAATAAACAAACAGTCCAATATCAAGTGCTGTTTGAACAGGATTATTGTGGAAATGAAGCAATAAATATGTTATACCTAAAATACAGAGCTTTAGGTTTAAAAAAAGTGGCTAAAACTCAGTTTAGAATATATTATCAGGTTTTAGCAAGAAAAGTAAAGAAGAAAAAGAAAGACTGAAACAGAGAAAAACTGAGGGGCAGACATTACATGTGCATATTTTAAAAGTTTGCTTTTTAATCACGCAAAATTTTGATTACTAAAGTTAGCATTAGTTTGAATTGCATTAATACAGTTAATAATTACTATGTTCATTTATGTTGCTATGATTTACTCATTTATTTACTCATGAAACATTGATTGTCAACTATGAATCAGACACAAGGGCTATAAAAATAATTAAAACATGGACCTTCCTTGAGTCTAGGGAGTGTGATAAGCAGATATATAAAGAAAAAAATTTACTATAGCGTGAAAAAGATGATAAAGTATGAATAAAGTTCAGAGAAAATATAATATCTACTTACATTAAAAAGTTGTTTTTTAGCATATGTTCTAATCTGTCCTTGGTAAGAAAAGAGGAAAAAGAAAATTTATTAAATGTAATTATATTCATTATATGTAATTAACATATTTAAAGAGTACATGTATTGGGCTTTATTCACAAAACTAATTACCTTTTGGCCAGGAGCTATGAATCTGTGACAGAGTTCAATGTCTTCAGGACAATTTGAGAGAACCAGCATGGTTGCAGTCTTGAAAAGCCGCTCCATAACCTAAGAGAGATGACAGAGAACTGCCTGACGAGTAAGCTACTTTATATGAAAAATCTGCTTAGGGCCCTGTAAGGACTGCTCTCCAGGTTTTAGTAACAATAAATCCGTTAGAACTCTCAATCCCCAGATGTACTACAGCAAGTTAGCTCTGTTTTCCATATTGATTAGAGCAGCCAACACAACTTCTTCTCAGAGGTAGGGGGAAAAAAAAGAAAGAAAAATATCTCAATCTTTTGTTAACAGTTTCAATACTGGTACTGAAGTGGGATGTCAAATGAACAGCTAAAACTGATTAATGCCTCTCTAAACTTCAATATACTCACTTGTAGAATCAGGATAGTGAGAGTACCTAGTTTTCAGGATCCTTGTGAAAAATCCACTGAGATAATCCATGTTTAAGTCTTAGCTTAGTACCCGGTCAGAGAAGCACACAACGAACATTGGCTGTTGTGAAGAGTGAGACACTTTGAAAAGTGCTTCATTCAGTCATTGGTAAATGAAAGTAAACTTTAAAATTAGAGAAGCAATGAGACATAGCCACATCTAAATATACACACTTTTGCTTTGCTATAGCATGAAGTAAAAATAACACAAATCATTATACAACACAAATCAGCATATAAGAATTCATTCTACCAGCGGTGTCCATACAAGTCTCATGGGAAAAACTTGTTTTTAGAAGAAAAAAGTGGAATGAAGATATTTCTAAAACATTTTCAATCAAAATTAAAATTTTGGGGGGCTGGTCCGGTGGTGCAGCGGTTAAGTTCGCACGTTCTGCTTTGGTGGCCCAGGGTTCACAGGTTCAGATCCCTGGCATGGACCTACGTACTGCTTGTCAAGCCATGCTGCGGCAGGCATCCCACATATAAAGTAGAGGAAGATGGGCACGGATATTAGCTGGGGGCCAGTCTTCCTCAGCAAAAAGAGGACTGGCGGCAGGTGTTAGCTCAGGGCTAATCTTCCTCAAGAAAAAATTAAAATTAAAAACAACAACAACAACAAAAAACCCTAAAATTTTGCTTTGAAGTCAGTGAGATCATAGCAGACCCTCCAAATATCGTACTCATAAAGATACATACATTTACAGAGTACAGGCTGCCTCAGAGGCAGGAATCTTCCTTTCCTCTCTTGCATCACTGGTATACCCTACCAAGGCTGGAAACACAGTGGGGACATAAGCTTCTACTCAAGTAATTTAATAATGATCAGATATAGGAAAGTACTTAATAGCCAAGTGACGACCAGATATATTTATTTTTTAATAGATATATAAAATATTTTCATGTTTTATATTTTTATATTTAAGTATTATTCTGTAGGGGAATAAGTTGAGGAAAGAAGAGCAAAAGGAAGCTAAAGATCTTTTACTTTGAGCCTATATCACCTTCAATCTAGCAGTGAGATGAAGGAATCACTAAGTAACTGAATGATTTATGACGGGTCATATCCTTCAGTCACTAAAAAAAGCCGACGTGTATTAAGAGGAAAAAAGAACAGGTAGATTGGGTACAATGCCTGCACGGTTGAGGGACACAGTACGCCTCTCTGTAGGACAAAGACTTTGACCACTCGGGTAGTTAAGTCGGTGTCTTTCATGAGCAGTAAATTTCCATTTGAAGAAGAAAATCATTGGCTTCTCTAATCTTGACTTTCAGACTATGCTCTATAAATATACTGAAGAAAACAGAAGCTTAACTGAAGAGTTAGAATAACCCTCAGGTGCTTTTAAAAATATATTACTCAATGGCATTAAAATAGTAATATTTAATTGCTTATACTTCATGAGTGGAAAAAATCCTTTGTTACAATATTCTGATTCAATATTTAAGAGGCTGACTCTTCATTGAGATAATTTCCACAGAACGTAATTTATAAAAAGGATAAAATTAAGAGAAGGAGGAGATTACTTTTGGGGGTGGAGCATACTTTTTTCTTCTGTTTTTAGGAAAAAAGTTTATATTTCAATTAATTAAATCATTCAACAGTGTATGCCTTGAGTACCATTCAGTGGAGTCTCAAAGAAATAAGCCTTCTTTAATTAAAGAATAGATAATTCTAGAGCAAAGATCCTAAGGTGTAATATTCTAACGTAATTTACGTGTGGTCTTGTAACCTTCCTCTGTATCTATGTTGGGCCAGTGGAGTCAGGGTCAAGGCAGAAACAGGGAGGTGAAACGTGTGGTTGGTTCAACTCCTTACAACACTCTCATCGCCTGAGTAAAATAACAATGAAGAATTGGGTAGTGGGCTCAAACTGAAAGCTGCTTAAGGGATTTTACTGACTCCTTGTGAGACTCAGATCCTGACTCCCTAAAATCTAGAAGAGGGTTACTTGACAGTGTTACTATTGACATTTTTGGCCAGATGATTCTTTGTTGGGGGAAGGCGACTGTGCATTGTAGGATGTTGAACAGCATCCCTAAGCCTTTACCACTAGATGCTAGTAGCAACCACTCTCCCCTACACCCCTGCCCACTCCCTAGTAGGGACAACCAAAAATGTTCCCCAGGGGACACTGATCTAGAACAATCAGTGAGAGATGTTAAGTCAGTGGGAGCACGTAAGTGGATACTGTGGCGGGTGGCCAGAACACTCCTGCAGGATCAAGAGCTTTATCTGCTGGGAATATCAACTGTTGATGGTCCTCAGCTGAGTTCTACTTCAGGACCTGTCCGGGCTAAGAGTGCTGTCTTACCCAAGGTTAGCTTCTTCCCAAGGCAAGCCGGTGTTCAAAGACTGGATGAAGTGGGGAGACACAAAGGCCCACCCCCTTCTTGCCTTCATGTGGTACAATTATGAAGGACCATTCCAGCTCCAAGCTTGCTCACAGAATTGGCTAAGGCCCCTGTTTGCAAAAGCATCACAGTTCAACTTCTCCCTCAGCCCATGGTGCTGCCCTCCTTTCCTTACAGGTGCTGTTCTCCAAAGCATTTCCCCAATAGTCCCCTGCATGCAAATCTCTGCTTCGGAAATTGTTTACCAGGAAATCCAACCTAAGATAACAAAATAGTGAGTCCATTCTACTTGGTGGTATACGTGGTATTTATGTTTAAAGTGGAATTGGGTCATTTACTGGGTGAATCAGTATATACATATAAATGAATAAAAGTGAGATGATGAAAAGTGCTAAAATAAACATCCTGAAATCACAGATCAAAACTAAAATATTAACCAAAATGGTATTGGATAGAGAATTCAAAATAACAACAGTTAATTTCTGGGTACTTACTAAAGTGCCATGAATTATGCTAAGTGCCTTATTATCTGTCTAATCCTCTGAACTTCTCTATAAAGTATGAATTATTATTCCCATTTTATAGACGAGGAAACTGAGGCTCAGAGAAATTAAGCCCCTTGTCTAAGGTCAGTTAGCAAGTAAATGTGGAGCTAAGAATCAAATCCTGGTCCAACCAACTCCAGAACTTGTATGCTCTATCTGGATTATAGCCACAGCCTCCTAAAAGGGCTCCCACCCCTATTTTTATCTCTCTCTAAATCATTCTTTATATTGCTACTAGAGATATGTTTCTAAAATATAACTCAGACCATGGCCTTTCCCAATTGAGAACTCTTTCTCCTTTACATTTTGGATTAAGTTCAAACTCCCTAGCATGGCATTTAAATACAAGGTCTTTGGGGCCGGCCCAGTGCTGTAGTGGCTAAGTTCGCATGCTCAGCCTCGGCGGCCCAGGGTTCACAGGTTCAGATCCCAGGTGCAGACCTACACATCGCTCATCAAGCCATGCTTTGGCAGTGTCCCACATACAAAAAAGAGGAAGACTGGCACAGATGTTAGTTCAGGGACAATCTTCCTCAGGCAAAAAGAGGAAGATTGGCAACAGATATTATCTCAGGGCCAATCTTTCTCATCAAAACCCAAAAAAAACCCCAAAAAACCAAAAAACCAAAACAAGGTCTTTCTTTCATGATCTGACTCTTGACTCTCTCTCCAGCCTTATCCCTTGCTCCCAAAACAGAACTCTGAGAGCTCCTGTGGATGCTTTCTAACATAGCTACATAGATATTTCTCTAACAATAAAGATGTTTTATTTATTTGCCCAGCAAATAGTAAGAGCTACTACTTACTGAGCCTGCTATGTGCCAGACCCCTTATTAGGTGTTTTACATTACATATATTATTTCATGTACTCCTCACAATAACCTTATGGAATAGGTACTATTATTCTCATTTTAAAGATTTTATTTTTTCCTTTTTCTCCCCAAATCCCCCCAGTACATAGTTGTGTAATTTTAGTTGTGGGTCCTTCTAGTTGTGGCATGTAGGATGCCGCCTTAGCGCGGCATGATGAGTGGTGCCATGTCCGTGCCCAGGATCTGAACTGGTGAAACCCTGGGCAACTGAAGCAGAGCATGCGAACTTCACCACTCGGCCACGGGGGTGGCCCTTATTCTTCTCATTTTATAGCTGAGGAAGCTCAAGATCACCAAGGTTAGGTAACATCATAACAAAATTAATGGCAGAGCTGGGATATGAACTTAAATCTGTCTGATTCTTGTACTTTATACTATCATTACACCAAAGGCATTCAGTAGATGTTTACTAAATTAACTAGTTCTCCATATTCTTCATTCTATGAACACTTGTAAGGCACAGATGTCCGAGGTAAAAATGTATAGAGAAACACTTTAATGTCACAGATGCCTGATATTTAGAAAACTACTCATGTGCCACATATTGATGTTCGGTCAGCGACAGACCACACGTATGTCAGTGGGCCCATAAGATTAGTACCACATAGCCTAGGTGTGTAGTAGGCTATGCCGTCTAGGTTTGTGTAAGTGCACTCTATGACGTTCACACAACAACAAAATCTCCTACCGACGCATTTCACAGAACATATCCCCGTCATTAAGTGACATGTGACTATATTTTGAAACTTGAATACCTACCTGCATGAGATCTTGAAGGCTCTCAACAAAAGAAATCTCTGCTTCTACCATATAAAACTCTGCCAGGTGTCTCCGGCTCTGAGAATTCTCTGCTCGGAATGTTGGACCAAAGGTAAACACTTGAGTAAAAGCTCTGCAATTCAAGATTCAGAGTGTAAAAATAGGATCCACATGATTAATTTTAAGTATTTAAAATACTCAGTGAGCTCTTAAGAAAAAAGTTTTATGCCTGTCTTGTCCACAGATCCACACATATTAGCTGCTATATTTCTCTAATGGATGATAATAATAGTTTCATTAAAAATGTTACATTTATAGAAACCACTTTATCCCAAAGGAATTTGCAAGTGCTTTACAAACCCTGTGGCTTACTAAATACAGAATTAGAACCACTTCTGGGGGCACTCTACTGCAGCTGCCTTAAACAGCGGGCAGCTACATTTCACAGCAATCAAGAACACAGTCAAGGGAAATACCACAGCCCAAGAAGCCACACAGACCATCTAGACAGTAACAGTTCAACTGGAGTTTTGTGTGAGTAAGGTGTGCTAATTATTTTTTAAATATGTGAGGAAAGAATATCCAATGTGTCTGGTGATTTGTCTTGTTCAAAGTCTACTGGAGTTCTTCACAACCACCTACATGCTTCAATCAACACTGAATGGCCTGGAAATTTGGGGGTGAGGGTGGATTTTGAAGAACTGTCTACTTTACAGGACTATAGCTCAACAATCCAAAGAAAAACAAAGAAATTCTTATTTTTAAATTCCTGCAGAGAAGTGGACACAACACCTCCATTCTTTAACCCTTACAGTCAGTCCCCCTTATATGGAAACAGGGTAACAGCTGAGATCAGATCAGGCAAATGCCAAGTAATGAAACATTTCTTGAGGACTACCTAATCTTTGAAATTTAAGGTTTTGCTAGACTAAAACAAGAGGTTCAGGGCTCCTTAGCTATCATTCTGAGCACTCTTCATTTGTCTGCTGTCAGTCAGATAACACTAAGATGAGAAATCATAGTGCAGAAAATAGATGAATTGTGGGTATATATACCAGTAGCTTTTTTTGTTTTGTTTCATTGTTTTTTTAAGTAAAGATACTCTGGGAAATGAAATAATACAAAAATTACAGTGGAAAACAAGAGATTTATTTTTTCTTTCAAAAAGCCATTTTAGTTAAGGCCTAGATGGTAATAAGCTTAGAAATTTATGTTTTGGTTCTATAGCCACCTTCCTGAGACCATGATCAGTTAACTTCTGAGAACTTTAGTTCTTAACGGAAAAATAAACAGTAGGAATTCAAAAATATTACTATGGTGACCTCTCTCCCAAGATTCAGATCCAGATTTGCCTACTAGACTGTTCCTGAAAACGCTGAACCTACCTTGTGCAAAATGAAAACTCTTGCCCTGCTCCCAAAAACAAACAAAAAACAGAATAATGAATAATTATGCTTTTCTTTTTACATTTCCCCAGCTGTTAATCTCATTTAATTCAGCTAGTCACCCAAACCAGATCCCCCACCTCTTCCGCACTGCCCACATCTCCTATATATCATATTGATCACAAAATTATATTGTTTTGACCTAGGAAAACTCTTTCAAATCTAGAGACTTCTTTATCTCCAGACACTGTCTTAGTGTAAACTCTTGGGTCTTGCTTGGAACACAGCAGCTTTTTTTAAATTTAATTTTATTTTTTAGGAAGGTTGGCCCTGAGCTAACATCTGTGCCCATCTTCCTCTACTTTATACGTGAGATGCCTGCCACACCATGGCTTGACAAGCAGTGCATAGGTCCACACCCAGGATCCGAACCAGCGAACCCTGGGCTGCCAAAGCAGAATGTATGAATTTAACTGCTGCGCCACCGGGCTGGCCCTAGCAGCTTTTGTGTGTGTTTGTGTGTGTGTGTGTGTGTGTGTGTGAGGAAGATTGGCCCTCAGCTAACATCTGTGCCAATCTTCCTCTATTTTATGTGGGATGCCACCACAAAGTGGCTTGATGAGCGGTGCTAGGTCTGTGCCCAGGATCCGAACCTGTGAACCGCCAGGCCACCCAAGTGGAGCCGTGAACTTAACCACTATGCCACTGGGCTAGCCCCAGAACACAACAGCTTTTCAACTGGTGTCTGACACCTGTTTTTCTTCCTCCATCCCCAAACTACTAAGAGTTTTCAAAGTCAACTCTGATTTTATCAGCCCTAATTTAAAAATCTTCAATGATTCCCCCACTGCTCAAAGGATAAAATTCAAACTCTTACCTTTGACCCAGCTTTCCTTCACAAAGCCTTTTCTCTAGCCACCCTGAAGACTTCTCCTTATACAGCCCCTGCGTATGCCTTTAGGCCTTTGCACAGGCTGTTCCCTACCACAGGGGCCTGCTCCTCTCTCTCCAAATGGCAAATTCCCATCTATCCTTCAAGACTTGGCTCAAATGTCACTTTCTCTTTGTAATCTTATATGACTATGACACTTTGTCCATGTATTTAGTATACAGAATGTATCATTTTGAAATGTAATTATCTATTTCAGTATCTTTCTCCCCCAATAAACTATGAAATCTTCCAGAGCAGGAATCATGTTTTATTCATACTTGCATCTCCAGTGCCTAACATAAAATAGGTGCTCATGTTGAATGAATGAGTACTAATGATGGGAGACTTCCTCAGTTGTAAACTGGAAAAGCACAACATCTTCATAAATAGTAACATTACAAATAATGTACAGAAAAGTACTCAGATATACTTTACTGTGGCTGCTACTTAGTACCTAAAATGGGTCAAACAATCTAGGTATGTCCCAAACAATAAACCGAAGAATTTTAAGGCCTTGAGTTTCCAATCTGTGACTGTGCAATCTCTAGGTAGGTTGGCAACAGTGTATCTAAATAAATAAAATAACATTTCTTTTTGGTATTGCATCATAAGAAATTATGTATATGGATGTCCACTAACAATAAAGGATATTTTATTGAGATTTTCCAAGGCATAACATAAAAACTAGGTGGCACAAGTGAAATTTACTTTGGCAGCTCTGAGGGAGACTTTCAAGAAATGGGCAGTTAGTTATCTTCCTGAAATACAAGGAAGGCCAATGGGATTGCTGTTCAGAAGAGACATGTTTTTTCTATTAAGGTACTAAGCACAGGGAAGACCGTGGTTTCTAAAACGAACCACAAATTCAAGTCACAAGGGCATCTGCTTCTCACATGGGTGCTCCAAGATGAGTGGCAATAGGAATTTTTTATTTAACGATGGTTAGTGATTTTCCCTAGAAACGGAAGGTAAGCTTTTTACTATAAAATACAGAAGAGGATCAAGGATTTTTATTTTAATTAAAGTAAGGACCAGGCTCTGAATGAGGGACCCAAGAGTTAAGCATCATTCTAATAGGGTAAGTAAAAACTGATGGCCATAGTGCTTCCTTTGATTTAACAGAAGGATATAATGAGCTGGAGGGTATGTTGAGAAATTGCCTAATTCAGTTTCTCGTCTTTAAGCAAATGAATGTTTAAATCATTCAGTAATGAGTGTCCTATTATAAAAGTTGTGATGGTGGTGGTGTAGTAGTGACAGTGGGTACCATTAGCAAGTGCTGCCTGTGGGCCAGGCAATAGATGTAAGAACCTGAGAGTTAACTCAATCAAGTGTGTATTGTTACTTCTATTTTTCAGGCTAAGAAATTGAAGCTCAGCAAGGTTAAGACGCTTTCCCAAAAGTCATAGAGTCATAGTCTAAGAAGTGGTGGAGGCCAGATTCAAATCCAGATCTGACTCTAATGGTCACAGCCTTAAACATGAGATTAAAATAATTATGCTCATAACTGGACATTGATAAACTCAGAAAATTAGAAAGAAAAATTTGTAATATAGCCTCCCTTCTAAAAGATAACTAGGGTAAGTAGTTTGATATATTTCCCTTCCTTATGAATAGCTTATTTGCTTTACATATTAAAATTACAGCTTTCTAGGATACATTGCCTTCATGTGAATAATGAAAATGATAAGTTTTCATCAATATCTTGTAACCTTTAGCAAATCATTTCGTCTTTCTGGTCTTCAAATTCTTACATGAGAGGGAGACGGGGGCAGCTTGGCATTTTTCTCTAGCATCTTTTGCAATAATTTTGTTTCTAGGTTCATGTGAAATTGCTCTTATTTTAATTTATGCTGATTTTTTTCTTTTTCTCTGTCTTCAAATGAAAGCCATTTGCAGCAAGGCTTGGGCCAACCAACATTTAAAGTAAGGTCTGAGAACAAGGCCATTTCTAAAATAAGATACAAAACCAGGTGAAAGGCCAGCACTGCTGTGAGAAGAGACCAGCAGAAAAAGAAAACAGTCAGCACTAGAAAGCATTCTTGTGCCAAATTATGGAGAGAGGAAAGCCATATAAGGAAAGTCCATGAGCTTGGAGTTGATGTTTAAGATAACAAAAGTACATTCAACACACATCGACCAAGATAGCTACAAAAATGGCTTTTTAAAAATAAAAAGTAAAGTTACCAAAAAAAGGTTTGACAAAGGTCATTTTCTTCCTTGTGTGGAGTTTTACGAAGCCCTAAACTGGCAAGTGGATTACTACAAAATGGTCACTGACTGCTTGGCCATTTATTCTTTCTGGCTCTGAAATTTAAGAGCTAATCTTTATATTTTTGAGATAGAGGAATTACTGTTCTTTAGCTGGGCAAGAACTTTCCATTCAGCATAAGGTAGATCCACAACTTTCCCTTAGGGCCCCCACTCCCAAATGCCTATCACTTTTTTATTGCCGGTTCAGTAAACGTTTATTAAGCTGAAGTGAACTCACAGACAATTTTAAACTGGCTTTTAAAATATTCTTTGTCAAGTGGTATTCCTATCATTCAGAAAATAATCATCTATTTTACTACTGTACTGCATCCATTGGATTATCAATACTGTGAGATATTTGTCACTCATTATTTCTATACGCCTAACAGAGGGGACCCCAGGCACCTCCTTTTCAGCTTTCCCCTATTCCTCTATCCTGCAATCCACTTGGTGGAACTGTATAAAAGAGACGTAGCTCTCACCACTTCATCATTTCATGTCAAGATGCCTTATTAAGGAGGATGCACTATAAAATCTAAAAATTCTTCTTGAACATTATTGCTA